AAATCTCTAAGTGTTTCATGTATGTATTAACTGATGGTAGTCTTGTATGTACCATATGGTGTAATAAACTCATAGCGTTTCACTTTGTATTAACTGATGGTAGTCTTGTATGTACCATATGGTGTAATAAACTCATAGCGTTTCACTTTGTATTAACTGATGGTAGTCTTGTATGTACCATATGGTGTAATAAACTCATAGCGTTTCACTTTGTATTAACTGATGGTAGTCTTGTATGTACCGTATGGTGTAATAAACTCATAGCGTTTCACCTTGTACCAACTGATGGTAGTATTGTATATACCATATGGTGTAATAAACTCATAGCGTTTCACTTTGTATTAACTGATGGTAGTCTTGTATGTACCATATGGTGTAATAAACTCATAGCGTTTCACCTTGTATTAACTGGTGGTAGTCTTGTATGTACCATATGGTGTAATAAACTCATAGCGTTTCACTTTGTATTAACTGATGGTAGTCTTGTATGTACCATATGGTGTAATAAACTCATAACGTTTCATGATAGACCACTTCTCAAATTCTCACCATCTGTTAGAACAGGAAGTGGAAAACAGATCACTGGATATCATTAAAGTAGTATTGTCTTTATTTAAAACAGAGTTATTTCAATTCTAAATCTAACTTCCCTTGATATATAAAAATGTAGACAGTAAGATAGGTATATTAATAACATATTCTGTAACTACTGCTTTCTAAGATCACACTTCACCGCTAATGTATTAACTAGTACCTTCATGTACCTGCAAAAGGTGTAAGGTAATGGGTGAATTGAAATCATATCTTCTACATAATGTTCGAGTTCATGTTTTTAGTTTTCTATAATAAAGTGTAAAAACTAGAAACAAAACATTTCTGTGCACACAAAAACGTACCATAACCAGAGATCCCTCAACGGTAAGAACCTGAGTCCTTTCATCCTGGCAAAGAAAAATAAAAATATTAATGGTCAATCATAGACAACAGTTTCGTACAAAACGCTTCTTTCATCCGTTTTCGGTTACATATTATTTGGATTCGTTACGATGAACTTGTATTAAGCACCACTCATGGCAGTACACAACATCAGAAACACACTTGATGCACCTTTACTAAATACCACTCATGGCAGTACACAACATTAGAAACACACTTGCTGCACATTTACTAAACAACATTAGAAACACACTTGCTGCAACTTTACTAAATACCACTCATGGCAGTACACAACATTAGAAACACACTTGATGCACCTTTACTAAATACCACTTTGTGTAAATAACATTAGAAACACACTTGATGCACCTTTACTAAACAACATTAGAAACACACTTGATGCACCTTTACTAAATACCACTTTGTGTAAATAACATTAGAAACACACTTGATGCACCTTTACTAAACAACATTAGAAACACACTTGATGCACCTTTACTAAATAACATTAGAAACACACTTGATGCACCTTTACTAAATACCACTTTGTGTAAAT